GGCAAAAGCGCCTGCCTGGCAAGCGCAAGGTCATGAGTTCGGTTCCCGGTACCGGAGAAAAACCAAAAACCAAAAAAAATAAAAAATAAAAATAAATAAATAAATAAGGAATTCTTTTGATTTCATATTTTCATTGCTTTTGAAGAGTAAAAGTAATTCAAACTCTTGCAATTAAATAAAAAGTATATCCATCACACAGTCATAGATCATTTATGAATTTCCCCATTCAAGTGCCTTCATAAATTCTCCTTCGGTGAAAGACGGCATCTTCGCAGCTTCAATCTGCATCTTCTGCCTTTTTAAAACCTCAACTAATTTTAATTGTTTCTTGAAACCTATCATTACTTCTCCATTTTGTTTTTCTGGTTTCTTGTTTTCAGATTTTAGCACTTCAATTTTTTGTGTGTCCTTCATTTGCTATATCCTTATTATTTTGCTTTAATTTCCTTAACTCCGGTCTACACTTTTCTGTTTCTCTGAGGGCGCTATTCAAGTGAACTTCTGTAGCACTTTGACTGGTGGTAGCCTGTTTTTTGTTTGTTTGTTTGTTTTGTTTTGTTTTTAATTTTAAGAAATAAAAGAAGGAAAATATATTAACAAACAGACATCCATTTATAAAATAGCATAAGAACAATACAAATAAAACAGAGTTACTGACAAAGTTGTAGGAATTAACCATGGTTGTTGTATTACTTATTGATATCTTCAAAGTGGTTTCTCAAGAAAACAAACAGAGCCATGCAAGACTGATCAAATAAGTAATCATTAACTGTTCCTTTCAATAAAGCAATAGAAGACAGTAGTACAACTATGTTAGCTATCCTGTATATACATAGTTCCATAATGTCACCTTCTTTCCCTTCTCATTTCCCACACCACAGTTGCCCTTTACTTTTGAACATTTTCCTTTCATTTCACAATGTCTATCACACCTCCAAGTTTTTATTCACTCTTTCAGGTCTTACACTAGTGAGACAATGCAGTGCTTGCACATGGAGGTCTGATTTATTTCACTTATGAGTATGGTCTCTAGTTGTGACCATTTACATATAAAATCCTGGAGTTTATCTTTCTTTAAAGCTGAGTAATATTCCATTATATAAAAGTACCACAATTTTTTTATCCAATCCTCAGTGGATTGGACATTTGGGTTGTTTCCACAGTTTTATTTTCTAATTCCCTTTCTACTGAAGATAATTGTAGCTGTAATCCATCACATTTTTTGTTTGCTTCTTCAAAAAGATGTTTGTATTTTTCTGTTTCAGACTGTTGTGTATTAATTGTTCACCACTGTTTTGCACAATTTTCTTCAAATTTTTTTACTTTAGACTTTAAATCCCGAATATCCTCCTCCTTTTTATTGAATTCACATACAGCATGACCCACGTCACTGCTGTGATTGCTGGTTTTGTTTTGAAATTCGTCACCTTCATCATTACTGGTCTGATCTGTGGCATGGCGGATGATCCCATGTAATCTGTAAGCCCAGCATTGGGAGGCTGAGGCTGGAGGATCTCAAATTTGAGTGCAGCCTAGGCAATTTAGCAAGATCCAGGGGAGGCAGAAAGGGAGGGCTGGAGGGTCGAGAGAGAGAGAGAG